ATGGAGGAAGCCCAATGAAAGGGGCATCTAGACTGAATGATCGAGAGACAGCGGTGACGACGACCGACCCTGACAACGTCAGAAGACGCGGGCCAAGCATGCGCCAGAAGGCGTCAGTGTTGTTGTGTTGTCACGGTGTGATGGGTGAAGGTGTACCGTAACATGACGTAGCAAGGAACATCGTAAAGGACAGTTGCGACCGGCGAGAACACGGGGAACGAGAACACAGAAAACATGTCTGACACGTACGATGGCCCTTTGAGCGCCAGAGGACGCGGGCTCGAGTGGCGCCAGAGGACCCTTGTGCTTGCGCCAGAGGACGCTTGCACTGTGTGTGTGTGTGTGTTTCAGCGAGAAACACGTAAGAAAACAGGCAAAACGGAGCCAGCCATCGTGTGGTGTGTGGCACGTGTGTCGCTAGATTGGTGCCTTCGCGTGTGTGATCTGAGAAACCTTCGTGGAAAGCCGGTGTGTACGGGTGAAAAGCTAGTAGCCTCCTGTCCGTTTGAGCCCTGTGAGCAGATGCGTAAGCAACTTGTGCGAGTTCTGTCAGGCGTGAAAAAAGCCGAGCCGGGTTAAACCCACCAGATTAATTGGAATGTCGGCGCCCACCCGCCATCCCCGGACAAGATGACACAAGACAGGAAGACCAAATGCCCCCGAGGGGACATAGGTCCAACGCCTGACTTGCGATATGTCATCATGCCCGTTTGCATCTCGTCCTCCCCGAAGGGAGCGCCCCGTGTGGGGAATGACGTTAGCCCCGCGCGAGTGCGTGTTATGAATGTGTATCGAGAAGAAAGCGTAAATTCACGCACTTTTGGTCAGGGACCTTGACCACGATCCAAAACGAGTCGAGAAAACGGAGAGGCTAACGAAGCGTCGAACGAAAGAGACGAAATGAGACGAGACCGCCAGCGTAAGAGCCTATGGGACCGTGGCACTGTCGAGAGGGACAGGTCACGATGGGTAATGAGCGCGGGTTTCCAGGGGGCACCACGTGGAGGTTTGATGCATGCCGAAGGTTCCTAGCCTGATCGGAACCTCCCCCGTTGCGTCCCGTGTGTGGGTCGGTTCTGCATGCTCACACTCTGCTGTACCAAAAGAGCAGGCACCGTCCTATGCATACACTCTCTTTTGCGCTGCAACGGGCAACAGAGCGGCTAGCCGAAGGTGTTGTTCGTTTAAAGTCGAACATGCACGCCATAGTCGGGGCGGTTCGCTCCCTTCGGGCATTGGAAAAGCCTCTGCCGCCACCAAGGCCCGAAGACCAGGGAGGGCGGGAGGGCCAAACTTCAACTGAGCCGAAAAGTCTTGAGACACATCGGCTCATTCGCTAGCAGAACTCTATGTTATCACTAACGAGCAAGTTCTGCATGCTCACACTCTGCTGTACCAAAAGAGCAGGCACCGTCCTATGCATACACTCTCTTTTGCGCTGCAACGGGCAACAGAGCGGTTAGCCGAAGGTGTTGTTCGTTTAAAGTCGAACACGCCATAGTCGGGGCGGTTCGCTCCCTTCGGGCATTGGAAAAGCCTCTGCCGCCTTATCTAAATACTTTGCAGCGAGTGTATGCAGGAGTTCGGTTCCTTAAGAGACAGGGCAAGGGGGGGCAGCACGAAAACCCGACTGTTTCCGGACCCATCCGTCGTCTTCCGCTGTCTGAGGCTTTGCCTCACTCACAAACAACTTGCAAGAAACAGGGCGGATCGCCACACCGCCTACTGTACATCGGAGCCTTTGGCTCCCATTCTGGCGGAACGCCTGTGCACAGGGCTTATAACCCGAAAAGCTCTGCAGAGCTTTAAAGATGAAAACCGTCCACCGCGGAACTTTGTGCTGAATCATCAGCCGGTAAATCGTTCCCAGCTGGGGCGGTGTCACCTGCAGCATCACCTCCCTCAGGCGTTGTAGAAGGAGCTGAGGGTTGGGCTCCCGGCTGATCGTCACCTTGGTCCGGAGGCACTGGCCGCCCAGCTTCTCGATCTTCCGGCTGATCGGAACGAGGTGGGGGAGGTTCTGGCCGCCCGTCCGCGGTTGTACCCGATGGTGCAGAAGAGGTTCCCGACGGGGTGCTCGCTGTAGTGCCAGTATGAGGTGGTACACCTGGGGGGGTGGAGCACCTGCGGATTTGGAAGCGGTTGTGGGCTCCGCTCTCTCTGCATCCGCATTGACTCTCGCCTCCAAGTAATCGAGGAATTGCTCCATTGTTTAGCAATCCCCCACCTCCTCCTGGGTCCAGGTGACTCCCCGCCTTTCAAGTCTCTCCAATCTGTTGAGGAGATAAAGGCGATGGGAGCGGCCCAAGCTCATCATGGGCGGTAGCGCCCTCACCCTCTGCAGGGGAGTGGCACGGGGCTGTAACGCCACATTGCCCTGGGCCACCTGGTGTTGTACGGCACGAAGTCGGGAGCGATGGCGTTGAAACGCCACTGCCGTGGATACACCTGCCTCCAAATCGGCCAGGTACTTGGGGTCGTTGCGAGCAGTGTCGTTGGATGCCCTCACCTTGACATTGCTGGACCCCCCTTTACCCTTCTGCCCTCGTAGCTGGGCGGTGCGCCTGATGGTATCGGCCAAAAGCCCTCCCATCACGGCACTCGAGCTGTTCGCGAGGTTTTCCAGGAGTGCCCGCTGCTGGCCGGCGTTGAGGCCTCTCATCCTTTGCTCCAGGTCCGCGCATTCTCGTTCGAGCCGGGCAACTTCCTCGAGCTCCTCTTTGTTGAGGACGACATCATCCTCCGGTTCCTCGTCATCAGATACCACGCATTGCTCCCTGTCACGGTTGCACATGGTGCAAATCGTGCGGGTGATTGGCACCCCATAGGAGCACCTTTTGCAGTACCAGTGCGTGGCTCTCTTGCCAGCGTTCCCGGAGCCTTTGCCACTCGGCGTCGAACTCGGGGCGGAGGCACCCTTATACTGCCATCTGCAGGCGGTACGCCCTCATCTGGCGGAACTGCCGGCCCATTGCCCAAGATCTGCATAGCCCACCGGCCCATAACATTCTGGGCTTGGTCCGCTTCCGCATAGGTCTCTGCAAGCGGGAGCAGGCGGAGCGGGGCCGGGTAAATGCAGGGTAGGGCGGCACGGCCTGGGCGAGGTGGCCCCTCATTCCCCCCGTAATGTTGACCAAGGCTGGGGTTCCTCAGGAAGTCCTGAAAGGTGAACAGGGGGCGATGGTCTCCGGTCGCAGGGCTGAGGGGCGGTAGATCGCCTTGAGGTTCCGGATGTGCCTCCTGTAGGTCCATAAAGCATGGATTGTCCCGATTTGCAAGATGGATCCGGGACATGTGGCCTCGGCGGTGCGCCCAGTGCAGGATATCTTGTGCCACTCGACGGATGAAGATCACTCCCACGCGCCCCCATGACTGCAACCCGCATAGGGCCCTGCGGCACATGACCAAGATGGTCCAAGGCAGAGCCAGTCTGGGGTCGACTCGTCAAGCTCGCGCACAGTGAGAACCACAGGGCCTCTCCGTTCGGTGCCACAATCGCCATAGGACGGCTTTCCTCTGTGGGGCCCCTGGCCTTCTTCGGAGCTGGCCCTTGGGGCGGGTCGACCACAGGCTGAAGGCCACCAGACGCCGGTGGTGGTGCGCCCACAAGAGCGAAGTTCCCGAAGCATAGCTTTTCGGGGTGGCTGGAGTAGGGGGCAGAGGTCCCTCGGGCAGTGCGCCCATACCCTTACCTTTTCCAAGGCCTTTCTTGGCGAAGTAGACGGACTTCGGCTCCGGCAGGCTGGGGGCGGTGCGGCTGTAGCGGCAGAGGGCGGTGACGCCTTCCTCTTCCATCTGCTCGTCCTCATCCAAGCCAGACAAAGGGCCTCCCAAACAGGCCCCAGTCCGAAATGACTCCCAGGCTTTGGCGGATGCCTTTCCGCTGTGCCCGGCGATTGAGCACAACAGGGGCTGTGGACGCCCTCGGGTGCACCAGCAGGTCGTCGGGGGCAGGGCCGTTATTGATGAGAGACCCATGTCTTGGCCGCCAGCATCCACATCCAGAACACTGGTTCGCTTTGATGGTCGTCTCATCCTGGCAGTTCCTGGCAGTCGGGGCATATCCAGTGTGTCGCCCTCTCCTGCAGCGTGTCGAGAGCGACGGCACCCATTGCAGCCATACCGATGAAGCCCATTAGGTTCTCCACAGCCTCCACAGATCCACCGCATCGTGTTGTCAAACGTGGAGGGCGGCGGCGCCTTGGTGGGGAGAGTCTCCTTATTCGGAGGTGGTGGAGCAGCCTTCTTAGGTGGAGGCGCCGAGGACGTGCTGCTGGGACGTGCCTTCGGTGGGGCCTTGTAGGGCTTCCGATGCTGGAAAAATGCAGCCGACTTGAGCTCGGCGGGGGGGGGGAGGCGGCGCTTCCTTGGCCCAGCTGACGAAAAAGCTTCCCCACTCCCATGAGGTCCATGAGGAGGTTCCTGCCATACGGGCCTTTGGAAGCCCCCTTTTGCTGTCGGCGGTACCGGTAGGGAGGCCCCTTTTGCAGCACCTCAGCACACGTCCACAGCGGATGCGAGGGTACCTATCGATCTCCGGGCCAGAGGACTCAGTGTCAGGACCGCCACTGGAAAACTCCTCGCTGCTGGTGTCGTAGAAAGAGGTACCCCAGCGACCTTTGTCCTTGCCCTTGGCAGAGCCAGCTCTGTGGCGAGGCTTTTGGCGGAGGCCTGATTCCACCATCCATGATGGGGGGCGGTGCCGCTTGACCCTCCATCTCATGCCGCGTTCGACGGGGGCGGAACCGTCCCCCGTCCCCCCAGTACCAACTCCCAGGCCCAGGATATTGTCATGGAGAATCCTGAGGCTCGGGTTGAGGAGGATCTCCTTGGCTGCCCGGGGCGAGGCCGAGGAAATCCCATGCACTGCCCCATTCCTGGATCCACTCTCGAAGTTGGCGATTGCCCATACCGGTTGGCGGAGCAGCTTCGGCCATGCTGAGAGCAGAAGGAGAGGCGGTGCGCCGGGGAGAGCGGAACGCTTGCTGGAGCAAAGAAAGCAGCTCGGGAGACACACGTGAACCAGGTCTCTGCGGGGCAATAGGCTGTTGGTTTCATGCAACGCGACCGACGACGAACTCTCAGAGGTCCTACTGGGCCCAGCTTGAGGAGGGAGGAGCCATTCGGGGGTACCTCCATACCTAAAAAGGAAGGGGGGGATCAACAATTCCGCCTGCTTCCAATTGCCTACGGAGCCTGACTCTCTGAATGAAGGTGAGTCCGGTGGTTCTTTCGAGGTGCTCAAGATGCGCTTGGCTAGTGGCCCAATTTTCATCGAATCCCTCATCGGAGCCCTCCGCGCTACCACTTTCACTGGAAGGGCCCCCAGCTCTCGTTCATACAAGAGTGCCCGCTAGGGTGCATATACTGCTGCGGTTGGAGCACCGGGCGGGACGCCAGCATGTCTTTGGACCGACTGGGAGCAGCAGCAAAGATGCCTATGCCTTGCCAAGCGCAAACAGGGAGACTAACGTCGCTTACCCAAAAAGGGTTATGCTTAGCGTGTTCCTGCAAGGCCCGGACAGGACAGATGTCCTCGCCAGTGGCGTGCTGGAGCCTAACCTGTCCCCTTCCGAACTGGTCCCCTTTAGAATCCCTTAGCTGCACGGCAACAGAGTCAGCTTCAAACACGGAACAGCGTTGCCCCTTGCAGAAGAAGTCAATGTCGCTGCCTCGGAGGACCCGAGTGGGAACATTGCAAAGATCCGAGCCGGGGAGGTACCCCGAAGCTCGCAGCATGAAGAACCAACCTAGGCAGATCGAGGTAAAGAGCTTTCCGTTCCGCGAGAGGGCGGTCCGACCCGTCAAGATACCGCTTCAACCAAGTGAACATGCCAGGGGTAACGGGGACCTTACGGACTGGGGCCCCGTCCCAGTGGTTCATCCCAGCGAGCGCTGCCCAAAGCCTGACTCGGCCTGTTAAGGGGTCCTGGTAGCCGGTTGCTATGTGCGCGTACCGGATCCCTGACAGCCGCTGCTTGATGCCTTGGGCGGTGCGGCCCATCACCTGATGCAGGAAAACAGTAAAGCGGATCAACCAATCCTCGTCTCGTTGCTTCTCCATCCGAGACTCCCCTTGCAAGAAGGGTGACACCCCCGTGCCAGACATGAAAGCTGCCCATTGCTTCCACCCCGTGTTATAGGAGCGCCTGGTAGAGTCAGCGAGTTTGCTGAGAAACAGCCTCCTGCCCCACCTGGTCAAGAAAAGAGACCCCGCTGCCTAGGGTAAGCCGCGAGTCCTGAAGAACTTTTCCCTCTCGTCGCCCAGTAGGACTGGGGTTTAATGAGCGATGGGCTGGATCAGCCTTCCTCTTAACAGGGCCCCCTACTCGGGTGTCCTCAGAACAATCCCAAGCAGTAGGTTCCACTCCGGGCCCTCACGACCCAAACGGCACAAGGTCCAAGAGGTCACGAGGGCGATCTGGGCACCGACTCCAGGCGGTATTAGCCTCCTCCTCATCAGGGTCCAAACAATTCCCGACTTTGTCAGCGGGGGTTTGCCACAAGCCCAGCATGCGGCTTCTCCGGTCCCTCAGCCTTAACAAGGGCCGTCCACTCCTGGGAGGTGACTCCTTGTGCTTTGGCTATCTCGCCGGGACTTAAGGGCCGGACTCCCCCGGATATGCTGGGGATCAAAGTGGCCCCCGGGACCCTTTAGGTCCCGCGTGGGGCCCAAAAAGGCACAAGCGGGCCCTGACGTGTGGTGAACCAAGCACTTAGCCGGGAAGCCGGGCCCCTTAACATGTCCGTAGGGGTGCGGGAGCCAGGGATCCCCGGATGTGACGATGCCAGGCTCCTGAGTCACCACACCCCCTAAGTGCAAGGAAGCGGTCTTGGCCTCAGGGTCCAACGGGATCAGCTGCATGGCAGGGGGTGGGTGAACCCGATGCTGTTCTATCCCTGCCGGAGACACCTGATCAGCCCAACCTCGCATCGGGCACTAAAGGCGCCCAAATGGGAGCTGACGTACGACACCGTCCTAAGATTAGGGAGGATCTCCTGTATGCCAGCAATCAGAGACGACACATCAAACTGCCTTGGGCAGTCGACCGCCAGCTTGCCGAGGCGACTCTTGCTCTCCTTAAGGCGGGCCCAAAAGCGTGCCTTCTGCGGGTCCTGAGAGAAGGTAAACCAGGCATTGCCGTGGCTTCCCGTCTCCCAGGCGCGAAATAACCGGAGGGGGATGGCACAGCTGGTGAGCTCCGGGAAGTCGGGACAGTGAGTGAGCTGACGAGCCTTTTGCGCGCTTGGGTCCAATCCCAGTGGCAAGACCAGAGCGGAGCGCTTGGCATCTTGGAGGAACTCCTCCCACTTGATCTTTCCTGGGGTCTCATCCCAGCCGTCAGCCACAAGCTGCTTTCGAACCACTCCCAGATCTTCCCGACTCAACCAGTCAGCAAGCTGATTCCGATACTTCCGGATATATATATATATAGGATGGACAGTGAAATTGTGCTCACACTCTAAGCGCTGGACTAGCCTGATAAGCAGACTTGCCACCCTATTACCTGGGCGGCGCTTGTAGAGCCAACTACGCACATTCGTATAAAGGACAATTTCACCATCCCAATGCTGTTTTCGGTGGCATGCTAGGACCACGAAGGCGAGTAGCTCCATGATGGAGATGATGTCAGCCTCGTCCTCCGAGGAGGCCACAGCGCGCAAAGCATCCTGGAATTTATCCACCGAGGACGCGTGGAAGACCTTGGCCTTCCAATCAACCGCGCCAAACCTGCCCAGAGTAGCGTCCCCCCCTGTGATCCGCGTTCGGGCGGTAGCACCTGGAAGAGCGAGTCTCTCGCGGATGGGCAAAAGCTTCTCAAACACAGAGGCGAAACTGGACTGCAACGGAGCTTCAAGCTGAAGTCTAATGAAGTCAAGGGCGTCCCAAAAGTTTTCCCACCTGAGGGCTTCCTCTTCAGGATCGTCAGCTTCCACCTTAAGCAACGTTTGTGACTTCCCTTTAACTTCCTTCCGACCCTGCCCTTGGAGGTTACCTTTCAGGAGGCAGTACAAAGACGGGAGATGTGGGGTGAGCGCAGGGCACGCTACCGTCCAGTACTGGGCGCATCCAATAACCTCCTGCAGCAGGCCAAGCGGGACATCCTTACAACCCCTCTGCAACGCTGGCTCACCGAGCAAGCACTTGGCTTTCATTCTTTTGGGCTCCGGGAGTCTTACCTGATGCTGCTCGAAATCCATGTGGAGCCCCCACAACAGCTGAGTCGCTGAGGGTTCCCCCTCCTCTGCCATCTTCTCCACATTCACCCCTTCGGGGCCCCAAACAAGTTTCATGGTTTCGTCAAGAACCTCCAAAGAGTCGAAGACCCGGGTTCCAACCAACGGCTCGACCACCACCCCGTCATCCATCAACCACTTGGACTCGTACGGAACCACGTCGTTGAAGCGGGGATCTTCAGGGCGGAACGACCCGTGATGCGCCTTTGCGGCGGCACTCCAGGCGACAAACTCCCCGGGGGAGCCTACCCATCCAAAGGGCATGGCCAGGCTGTGTATGATTATAATCCAGCCAACCGAACGGCAAACTCAGGAACGTCCTGTGGGCGAAGGAAATGCCACTTAAACGCACGTGGCACGTGTCGTTTGGCACACCTCTGCGGGATACCGGGGTGTCTTGCCCTCCACCACAACGATTGCCCCGCCACCGCGTGGTGTCTGGGTTGAGGGGCCGGGGGGTGGTTGAACTTGGAGCCGGCCTCGTTCTGCTTCCTCATGTCGTTGATGGGCCTGCCCTCCGCGGAAATAGTCCGGTCAGGGTTCTGTTTGGGCACACGGCCCAGAGGGCTCTCCGGCACTCGACTCTCCCCTCAGGAGGGCGGCGCCGTAGGCTGCGTCCTTCCATGCTTTTTGGAGGAGCTCCTCTTCGTAGCCGTACACCGACCCATGGTTCTTGGCTTCTTCCCGACGGAGGGGCCTCCCTACGGCTCGGCACTCCCTCCTCCGCGCTTTGCCGGAGGTACTCCTGGTGAAGGGCGGACACGCCTTTGAACAAGCCGTGTCTTGCACCTGCAAGGTGGTCACCTAGTGTAGCAGCCCGGACCGAATTTAAAGCCTCAACGGCCTCCTTTACAGTGCCAGCTGCTAACACCAGCTCCGCTCCCAACCTACCGGCCTCCATGGCTTTATCGACCGAGAAAGAAGACTGGCAATGTTCCAGGTATTCCGCTGCCTTGTCATAAGATGTCCCTCCCGCCCTCTCAACAACTCCTTCGCTTCCTTCGTCAGCGAGTTTTGGGACCGTCCCGCCCCCCCCCGGGAGGGTGGGAGGGAGTCGGCCCTCACAGAAAGGGGGTCGACAGAATCATTGGCCAAGCAGTGCAACCAGCGGGTTGCCAACTCCAGCGCGGAAACGGCAGGTGGCGCCCCTGTGGTGGCCAATTGGTGGAAATCCTAACCACTGGGAATACCCCACCAGACCGACGAAGAGGCCAGGCGCTGGACAAAAAGTCTCACGTCGCACCCCACCAAACTGCGCAAAGACACAAGTTGCTGGGGCGGAAACACCACACCACAACAATGCGGAGAATGCGTAAGCAAAGTCCCCACTTGCGACAGGAGAGTCAGCCAGTCTGAAGGCTGCGCCTCGATGAGCCAAAGCAAGTATCCCTGCGACAGCACCGTCGAATGGGATGCCAGCCACGTTTGCAGCGTGGGAGCACCAACATTGGGAGACGGCATTACCAACCGGGGCTGTACCTCAGGAAGGGCGGTAACACCTTCGGAAAGAACAATCAAGGCCGGTGTAACACGCCCGTTTCTAGGAGCAGGCAAGCCCTCCGGAGGAGGGCGAGCCGGATCACCCAGGTCATCTTCCTCGCTTCCCGCCTTACACGGGGTCTGTGGACGACGACAACGGTAGCAAGGATGAGGTTTGGATGGGATAATTTCGCCCTCCGTTTCTTGAGCTTCCAAGAAA